AAAGCTTTTCCACTGATTGTTTGGCTTACTCAGGGGGAACATAATGAGTTTCGAACCTTTGATATTTGTCCATTTTAATCCATTGTCCTCACCACAAAATCAATTACCAAGACCAAATCAAGTTCCTTGAAAACTTTTAGTATCTTAAGTTCGCAACATTCTACATGTTTTATTATTAAAATAATATTAAAATGAATTTTATGATGTATACATAACAACAGGCATTGAGTTTTTAATAAACATTCACCGAAGTAGGAAGTTAAAGTGTTAAATTTTACAAACATTTTTTTTCCAACTCTTCTTTTCCAAAGGATTGGTGAGACCAAAGTTGTTCATTTGGCATCCATGCAAATCTCAGTGGAGGTAAATACCATTTTTTAACGGCATTGTATCACATCAAATCAAACTTCCAAAAACATTCCTCCTCCCCACAAACATATCTAGCTGGTTGATCTCTCCAACCATACGACTGACTACATTTTTTAAAAAAAAATTATGTCTCAAACCGACCACCTCAAGGAATGATATTTTGCAACTAGTTTGAGGGAAATTTTGGGAGGTTATACTTTTTTTGTGTGTTAACCCATTTCTCCTTCATTCTCCTAAAGATTCATCTGTGATTGTATTCCAAAGTCTACCTGGGGTTATTTCATCCAAGTATCATTTCTTTGTGCATAGCAACAGGGATCAGGGACTTAGTAGCAGAATCTTCTGTCAACACGTCTCCCTGCAACCTGGCTCCAACTCTTACTCCCACTGTCATTTATCTGTATGGCTCTCAGTCTCTGAGAGTACACAAAGAGGTTGTTCTTGTTAGCTTAAAGGCTTTTCCTGCAGGTTCAGAGTGCCTCTTATAATGGCCTAATTCTTTACTGGGTTGTGTTTGGTGATATTACATGAGCCACAGAAGGCCCAGAATATGCTTTGTTATTTATGTATTTCACCAGTGTGGCATTGTTCACAGATGAATAGATTGATCCTTGATCTGAGGCAGGAAATGTTATAAACTATACAAATTGCCTTCAATTCCAGCCTGTTGATGTGCCATTTGACGATTGAAAGGACCATAAATTTGGCAGACATCTGCCTCCCAGATGTGCTCTCCAGCCAGACAGAAAAGCATTTGTTAAAATGATCAAAGAACGTGAAAGCCATTGCAGCCTGACACCTGCTTAGACAATGATACACATTTGTACAATATTATCCAGCTTTTCAAAACTAGTAACTACCAATCTGGGATTGAAGGTTCTATTTGTTGTTAGGATTTCAGGAAGGAAACAGCCAGAATACTCCTCTCTGTGATTGTATCATAAAAGCAAACACCTGACTTTGGGTAATTCGTCATGAAAGAGATGGAAAATATGCAAATCCCCCCCCAAGACTATAGAAAAATAGGCAGCTTTTTAGTTGATTGTTTTCCGCCAGTTCTCTCAAATATTCTGTAGGCGATGTAACAAATCACCACATAATACTTTTGTAATCGCCTTCAAAAATGGCTGAATATTATAGAAATAACTCTCCTTCTTATAAAGAAAGTTCCTCTAGCAGATTTGTGGGCTGACAAAGAAAAGACAACAAAACCTATTATTTCTGCCATGGACATGTCTCTACCACAAGCACTAAATTAAAACATTCTTAATCCTCATGGTGAATGGGGGATCATCTCTCAACCCATCTGTAAAGCCACTGTCTGAAGGGACATCCGAGCAAATTGGGAGCCACGAGCTGACTTTGTTAGCTCCCAAAAAGTACGGCAAATTATCTTGAATATTTGTCCCTTGCCATGAGACAATTAAATAAATGATTGGCAAAAGCCTCACAGAAATAAAGCACATGAACAAATATACCAAGTAACCTTTCCCCCCTTGACAGTAAGACGTCTTCACAAGGTGGACCAATGATGTCACCTACCTAACACGGTGTTTAGCTCGAGAGGATGTCAGACTTCAGCCTAACGTTTTGGCTATCTCAAGAAGATTGAAGAAAATGGAAGAAACTGACACTTTAATGCACGGAGATCAGCTTCATGAATCTTATTGTCCAATTTGGGACAAATAAACATTTCTGGGGAGACTGCCACCGCAAGCCAGTGGGATCAATATCTCCTTGCTTCAACATTTCCAATTATCCAATCCGATCCCACTAAACTGTTATCACTTGTTGCAAGTCACATGTCTTTTCTGCCTGTTTAAATTGTCTATGATCAAAACTTGCTTCTTAACAAAGATGACAAACTGTTTTAAAATCCCATTAATTTTTGACTGCCTGTTGTGGATAATCTGCGACTCATTAACTCTAAACCTTACAATCATATGATGATAAGAAGCTTGTTTGGATTGCTTATAACTAGAATTGGCTTGAAGCTGTGCTTTCATGGGGATTATCAAATATCAAGTTATGGTCCTTGCTGCCATGGGCATTCATCCAAACTGCTTCAAATCTTCTAAAGTTCCTATTTTAATGAGATACTTGAGCAGAGGAGTATTAGTCAATGATGAAATGCCTCTAAAACTGAGGAAGTAGTGCTGCCATCCTATTGCAATACCACATTCACATCATCTGTTTCAATGCACAGCCAATGTTTGATGATGCTTTAATCATTTCCCATCCCAAGGGGAACGAAAAACTTTCTTCTGGAATGCCAGACTGAGAATGTCTGGGTTTACCATACGTCTAAACGTAAAATGGCTTGGGATTTTCTCGTGCATTGAAGGCATTACATAAATGCAAATTACTATGGTTGTTGAACTGACATTGCTGAACTATGGTAATACCAGCTGCATGATTTCTCTCGTTGTCAGTTGGAGAGTTTAAGCCCAGGAAATGCCAACTAAAAATGTCAAAGTAAGAGACAACACTGAACAACACATCACTTCCTATTAAATTTTGTGGAAAAAAAACTTTCTAGAGGTTTGGGTGAGATTAGAGATTTGGGTTAACTCGCACTTACTGGCCTGTCAGTAATCTTGAACGAGTACAATATAAAATTCTAATAAAGGTTTGTTTGATCAAACGACAGGAATAAGATTACAAGTCAACCTGACAATTTCAGGCAGAAATATGTTCATTCAAGTTTAATAGTTGAATTGCTTGAGTGCACAACAGGGAAAGCAGCAATCACATGAGCAAGGCAAAAAGGCTCCTTTGACCCCACCCAATTTATCCCCTCTGCTCTCAACTTTTCAGATTTTCGCCAGTGTATGGTTCCTTTATCAGCCATAATTAATTACAGCAAGGCTACTCAGTCACTGAGGTGTCAATGCAAACTCTTTTTGAGTCTTCACTTAACCTCACAAATACTTTCAACTGGAGTTGCAGGATAATAGCACTAGAAACACTGACTTAATCTGTCCCTATCAAAGACGGACTCTGGGCAAAGTTGGGCTCAACACCATCACAATAGAGTTCAGTCAGCTCAGCAATTGATAAAGCACTCATCATTACACCATTGCTAATCACTGGAAAGTTGCTTCTTTCTGATTTTAAAGTTCAATTTCTGGTTGAGAAGATTTGCAGACAACAACAAATGAATGGACACCATTCAAGACATTTTGTTGAATCTTCTACATTGTCCCTTTTTGTTGTGACAAGACCGATCACAATTATGTAGCAGGAAATTTTCACTGTAGCAGTTTGATAGGTCAGGTAAAAAGAATTAAATGCAGTGCTACAATTAAAAACTGCCTCCTTAGGCAAGATAAGGCTGCCAACAGTTTGAGAGATATCATAATGGACTCTGCAAGACTGATTCAAAACAGAGTGAAAACCAGTCATATATTTGAATGGAGGAACAAAAGTTGACGAGAAAACAGAAAAGAAAATATATTGAAGCATTTGTTATATTTTGGAAATATTTTTGTGCCACTCGATGAGGACTTAGAGATAACAAATAATTAGGGGAAAAGATCTAATAAAAGATTTGTTTTCCAGATAGCAGCTTATATGGCAGGGAGTCATTTCAAGTAATTAAATGATCTCATCCTTTCCACTTGTCCACTAGCCAAACCCTACATAAGATACTTAAGGCAATTACATGACTTTCAGTCATCAGACTTGAATCCAGCCCAGTAAATGAGGATGGATCTATAAGCAGAAAATGAAAATTGGCGCAAGTTAAAAACCACAAAGTCACCCACACTGTTGTCGTGTTAGACATTGGGTCAGACTTGAGTTACCAGAAACATTCTGCTGAGGAATACTGCTTCTGAGAAGTTGGAAACTAAAATCCAAAGAAGAACAATAAAGCTAAGTGAAATTTTAAACCTGACTGCTTGTTAAAAATAAAAGAATCTTTTTTTTTTGGTTGCCCATATTATTCCTACAGTGCTGAAAACAGGAATAAAGATGGGGAAGTACTGTTTTCACTGGCAGGTGACTCAGCAACCATAAGACATGGATTTAAAATAAAAAAGCCAGCTGTGTGAAGATGAAGAAAACTCTTTTGACTTCAAGTTACAATAATATAAAAGGCATTGCCTGAAAGGATGAGGAAAGCAGGTTCAACAAATAATTTCAAGAAGGGAACTGAATTTGCACATATAAACAAAACATTTGCAGGATTATGGGGTAAATTCAGGGAAGCGGATAAACTGATTTTTTAAATGACACAATATGCATAATAGACTCCTTCTGTACTGTACACTATAGGATTTAATTGAATAAGATCCATGCAGAAAATTGTTTATTGCACTCAGTATACTTCGCTCATTTTCCCTGTTGATTTGTGATTATTTTGCCAATACTCTTCTTCGACTACACAGATTAACACAGAACACAATACGATGCATGGGTACTGCCAATGAGAAGGTGGCTGCACCTCCTGTTATGATATGCAATTGTGGCTGCTGGAATTGACATAAGGAAGCAAATTTTAAAGTTGTGTCAATAGGGTTCAACCCCTGAAACGGTGCACCAAGCGCTGATCGTGCACTAGAAACCTTGATGGAAGGTGTGCAGAGGACAAGCATCCGATATCTGAAGTGAGATAGAACAGGAAGTGTTCAGAAGACAGTGGAAGCACTCAAAATGAGGTCAATGCCAAGGCCAGAAAAGTCGCTCTGTAAGAATAAAAGTTAAATGACTTGATTCAAGTTGAAATGAGCGAGATCATCTTCAAATTGCATGTCCTCATTACAGCAACACTAGCCTCATCCACTGCTCAATTCACTATATCCATGTCATCCTCCTACCAACATTCTCTATCAATATTCATTCACAGAATCATAGAATCCCTACAGTGTGTAAACAGGCCAGTCGGCCCAACAAGTCCACACCGCCCCTCCGAACAGCATCCCACCCAGATCCATTCCCCTGCCTTTTCCCTGCATTTCCCATGGTTAATCCACCTAACTTACACATTCCTGGACACAACAGGCAATTTAGCATGGTCAATCCACCTAACCTGCACATCTTTGGACTGTGGGAGGAAACCGGAGCACCCAGAGGAAACCCACACAGACATGGGAAGAACGTGCAAACTCCACACAGACAGTCACATGAGGGTGGAATCGAATCTGGGTCGCTGGAGCTTTGAGGCAGCAGTGCTAACAACTGAGGCATCCTGCTGCCATTCTTTCAATTCGTAAGTTGTACCTAACTCTCTTTCACTTTGCACTACTGCAAGTCACATAGCCCCAACTCTAAGCTCACAGATGGGCAGCTATTTAACAATGACAGGCATATTAACTGACCATTGCAAGCCACTTCTGAAAGCAGGGAAGTATCCCAGAAGATAGCAAACAGCAACAAGTGGCAGCAACAATTTGATGGGAATGTCTACATAGATATCTCTATAGATGAGACATGAGGTCACAGTCAGTAGAAGCACAGTATCTATCAATAGTGAGGGTATTTGCACATCAAATCTTTCTCCTGTCTTCCCACTTCACAATCGAATTCTCAATAGAAAAAATTATGCAAGCATGCAATTCTTGCTTTCTCCAACTTTCACACGACATCCCAACACGAGCCTTTTTTCTTTTTAATCAGATACTCAAGAAATGGGACTTTCACAACCAGAGAAGGGTGAGATTGGAAGAACTGAATGCCATTCAATCGAACGCTCTCAGGTACTAGCTCAGATACAGATGCTGTGTATAGTTTTGATGTTAGCTTCAAAAGATGGATCTGCACATACTGGGCACAACCACACAGAAGTCAGGATATGGGAAAAGAATAGATCCCTCGTGTGCACTCTCTTGTGCATACAGTACATAGAGAGCTTGATGACAACCGTCACCTTTCCATCAAAGGTTTAAGCTGCCACCTTACAAGCTCAGACTGCTGCTACTGTGACACTGAGTACCATTGCTCAAAGAGATTTTCAGTGCATCATGTAATCTGTCATCCAAAGTTGACATGCCATTCTGTAAGAACAACTACAACTCTATAGAATGTGAAACAGTTGCTCTCTCTTGAGATGAATCCAGCCACTCTAGCAGTACCCCAGCTGTTGACAATCAACCTTAATGGCTGCAGCTAAGTCAAAACATCAACGTTTCCTCGATTAGCAGTTGATAACCTTCCATGATCTGTGATGCAGCCACTGGAGAGACATCTTGTAGGAGCCCCAACAACTTGGATTGATATTGTATCTTTGGAATAAAATGTTCCAAGGCACTTTAAAGCAAAGGCAATATTAGGGCTACATAAGAGATGATCAAAAGCTTGGATAAAGAGGCAAGAGGAAAAGAAGGGAAAGAGGTAGAGAAGTTGAAGAATGGAGTTTCAGATTTAAGACAGTAGAAGAACTGGCTACTAAGGTGAAGCAATGAAAACTAGGGATACTCAAAAGATCATAATTAGAGGTATGCAGACTTTGGAGGGTTGGATGCTTGGAGACTAGCACAGAAACAGAGAATGTCATGTCACAGAAGGACTTAGAACATAGAACAGTACAGGCCCTTGGGCCCACGATGTTGTGCCGACCTATTATCGTACTAAAATCAATCTACCCTGCATACCCTACATTTTACTATCCTCCATGTGTCTATCCAAGAGTCGCTTAAAAGTCTCTAAAGTATTTGACTCCACTACCACTGCTGGCAGCGCATTCCACACACCCATCACTCTCTGTGTGAAGAACCTGCCTCTGACATCTCCCCTGTACCTTCCTCCAATCACCTTAAAATTATGCGCCCTCGTAATAGTCATTTCCACCCTGGGAAAAAAGTCTCTGACTATCCACTCTATGCCTCTCATCATCTTGTATGCCTCTCATCATCTTGTATACCTCTCTCAAGTCACCTCTCATTCTTGTTCACTCCAATGAAAAAAGTCCTGGCTCCCTTTACCTATCCTCACAAAACCAGCCCTCCAGTCCAGGCAGCATCCTGGTAAATCTCCTCTGCACCCTCTCTAAAGCTTCCACATCTTTCTTATAATGAGGTGACCAGAACTGAACACAATATTCCAAGTGTAGTCTAACCAGAGTTTTATAGAGCTGCAGCATAACCTCACAGCTCTTAAATACAATTTCCCTGCCACTTGAAAAGAGAGGATTGAAATTGAGGTATCGTTTCATCAGGAGGCAACAGCATTAATGTGTTGAGATAAATCTGACAATCTGCAAATCAATAAGACAAATCCCTTGAAAATTGAGTGTCTCTTGCATGATGTTCCTAAATTATGACTATAACTATGAAGCTTATCAACTATCTTAACGAAATGGCTAAACATTTCAACTGGATATGAAAATTATGCCAATTCCATTTGTACAGAGCAATATTGTCTGCTGTCTCAAGCCCTCAGATATATACTTACAGAGCAAAGTCCATAAGAAAAGAAATAATATAAACAAAAGTCTGCTTTATATTAAATCCACTGATCTGCATTTGATTTTATTGTGCTCTGCCTAGAGTTTTCACTAATCTGCCCAGGTTTCATCAATGCAATCTGCTGAACTCAGCCAAATCAACTTTAAAGATCTGAGGATTTCAAATACAAGTTACACTGAATGCAAATTAAGTTTCTGTGATCAGGAGGGATCAGCTTTGTTGCTCTTCTGTACACTGCCTCAAATACCTGAATGTCTACTTTGTACCCCACTGACTAGAACTAGGCATAGTCTACAGAGTTCCACTCACTTTTAAACAACTGTTCAGTATTCTATGGACTTTGCTGCTTTGCACTGGTTTGACCTGTTGACTGCTAGATCCAATAAGACTTGTGCATTTGTAAACTTTATCCTTCGCTGCTTCAACATCATTTAATTCCTAAGTGCAATATTTCAAGTTCACCTGGGTATTATTCTTAGTTATATAAATTGTTCAGCTGGCTTGGTAATTTTAAGAGCCACTTTCTCCAATTAGTTTGGTATCTCATGTATACATATGGCCACTGTGCCAATAATTTAAGAATCCAGGTCACAAATCAAAAATTAAAGAGTGGTGGTCTCAACAGCAATCATTGGGGAACTGCACTCTGTAACTGGATAACACATCACCTCACCAACATCCACTCTAAAGTCTTCTCACTATTTTCGACAATTCAATTAATTCCTTGCTCATTTCCACAATTCCTAAATCACTAAAATTAATCTTTCACTAGAAACTGATGAAGAACATAACTTATAGGCATATCTATCAACTAACATCACTGCACTTGGGGAAAAAAAAGTATTCAAATTAGTATGACATTCTCACACTTAAAAATGGTTGTGGCTAAGCAATTGGCAGGAATGTAACTGAGGTTCCAACTGGAGGCTGGTTCTCTGCTTCATTTGCTGCTGGCAGGGGAGCGGGTGAGGAGGTGAAAGAGGAGTGGCTGGACAGGAAGTGAATTCATGAGTGAGTGAGTACCGGGGTGAGTGGGCAAGTGAGGAAAGCGATTGAAAGAGGGGTTGAGTGAAGGGATGGGGGGGGGGGGGGGGGCAGGCGGGCGCGAGAGTGGTGTTTGACAAAACGGAACATTTTTCGGCATACACAAACACAAAAAAAAAATGAAATTACATTTGTATTGGCCAAGGGTCTTACTTAAATTGCCACTGTGTACACAGAGAGATGTAGTAAAATTCCTATGTTTTATTCAAAGGACCAAAGAATCGATATAATGTTAATAATGAATCACAGCATATTCTAGATTAAGTGTAAATAAATACTGACTTGACAGACCTGCCAATTTAAATGGAACAGAAACACAGATATAATCAAAGAATTACAACCAACCTAAAACAATAAAACTGCAAAATAAAAGCAAACTAGTGCAGATTCTAGAAAACTGAAATAAAACAGAGCATTGCAAATGCTCAAATATGACACTGCAGTTGCTCACAGTTCCGAAGACAGCCGCATTCAGCTCAAAAAGTTAGCTGTTTCTTTCTCCACAGATTTTGCCCTCATTTGCTGTGTTTTGCCAGCCATTTGTTTTTATATATAATAAAACTTAAATTTTAGTTTTGCTCTTCTCTGTCCTTGTAATGTTAAAAAAAACTTACAGAATTCTGAATATTTCTGTTCCAGTTTCTTTTAACTGCATTCATGTAGTGGCATATTGGCAATTATTTTACTTTAACACGATCCCAGGATCATTGAGTGCACCCATAAAACCAGAAACATGAAAGAAATCAATGAAGGAAATTATGTACAATACAAAAATGGAATACAAATTAAGATGTACCAGAATTCCGAAGAATTTGTGAAGTTGTCTGCAAATCATCTTGCTTCTTTCACCATAAACCAAGAGGCCTGCATTTACCATTCTCTTATTGGTTGAACAATTGACTTTTAAGTCAATTATTCAATTATTTCACAGTTCTACCAGCTGGAAAGTAACTCTTTTGAAAGCTGATTTCTTGAATCTATAATTTCAGAAGGGAAATAAAAATTTCCCTGTTTGAATTCAATCTTTTCCAAAAATAACAAACTAAAGGCAAACGTCTTTTAGTGCTTCATGAGGTAATTGATTAGCTGTTATAGCTGGTATATGTTCTGCAATTATCACTGTTTCAAAAAAGTAAAATTATTTTTTGTTCCATTCAACAATTTGACGGACAAAACTCAAACTTGTGCCATGAAGTACACTATGGAATATTAGTACAGCAACACATTGCTACAAACTA